AAATACATATACATATATATATATATATATATATGATTTTCGACATGCCGTGTAATTGGAGAAATAAATATTTATCCTGTTTCAAAAAAGAACTTGTTTTATTGACAATAGCAGTAAATAAAAATACATGTTTAATGCATATTAAATACATTATTATAATGTAATGTAACATAATAATCTGATAATATATTATAATAATTCTTGTTAATGTTCTCTGTTAATAAAATTTACTTTTATATTCAAAAAATTCACAGTAGTATATTTGGAAAAGTAAAACTATATAACCACATATAAAATTTGTTTTTACTAAAAAAACAATTTAAGAACCATATACATATTTAGCAATATATGAACCAAATAAAAAGAACAAAAAAAAGTTTCGCACACATTCGAGCTCGCTTTTTTCGATAAACACCGTCGTTGTCTATGTATAATATATCCGCAAATATATTTCCTTTCAATAAATCTCCGACGTCAGAAATCAAATCGAGTGATCGTTAGCTTAACGCATGATTGTGTCAACTACTATATAGATACCGTCGTGTTTTGAAAATTTTGTCTTACGAAATTATAAATACGGAGCAAGTAACTAAAAAATCAAAATTGCATATTTTGATATCGTTTCTTTATCTTTCTATCAATCTTGCATTCTTCTTAATTGAGTATATTTTTTTTCATATCTATCACATATTTACGACTATTCCGCAAACTCATCTTTCCTAAGATTAATTGCTTATCGAAGAAAGAATTGACGTAAGGAAAAAAATAAATGTATTGTTGCAAGGAACTTATTAACAAGTTATCAGGAAAGTTTTAAAAAAAGAATAACATTACGTAAAATACTACGTCAAATAATTTTACTCAGTCTGTGGCTTGAAATAATTTTGCTTATTGCGAAGAAAAAAAAGGGTAAATATGCATATTAGGTTACATCTCACCGATGACTTTGACCTTGACATATGTTGTCAAGGACATAATCCTGAGTAACTTTTCCTTATAACTTAACCGGCGGTCTCTTATAGTTTCTGAGATATTTAAAGTTATGATTTCACAATTTTAATGATTTTTCTATTATAAAATAAAGAAAAATAAAGGTTGTTTACATTGTATTTATGTAGATCAGACGTGAAAAAAGTGTTTCTTTACATTTCCAGAGACGAAGCTCTTTGGGTTTTTTTACTTTCCACGCAAAGCGAGGTTCAACGCAAACCTATGTGTCTAGTTTTTTTATAATGGAGCCCACTGCGTCCACGCATATACTTTCCCATCCACACAACAATTGTGGGGCGAACTTCGCTTTGTTTTGTAAAGTATATGCGTGCACACAGTGGGTTCCGCC